CTACAAAAGAAGTCAATATTTTTCTTGGTATTCAACAGACAATATAATGAAAAGTTACTTTCAAGAGCAAGGATATCTATCTTTTAAGTTATCATTACTCCGCATAAGATTTGTATTATTCATTCATCAACATTTAAAGGCTACTGTGTTATTTAATTAATGCTTGGATATTTTGTTAACGTTTTGACGAGGTTTTTCTTTGTTAGACATTTTATCGTGAAAATAATAAGAATTGTTTCATGTTACAGCAATCTATCACCATAAGCCAACAAAATGACGATGCGAATAGAAAGTATTAAACATATTTACTTTAATGCAGATACGACTATTTATTCGAATCTATTTTACAGATGGACTATTCATTGGGAGGACGCGGCGTTTTACCTTTTAGCTAAAGAAATGATGAGGATTTTGAAAAATAACAAATAATGATTTAGGATTCTTCACATATCACAATTGACTCAGTGGATTTGATGATTCCAGCAACGAAAAAGCCTTTGACGAATTTGGAGAATTCTACTGTCCATAGTAACTGATTAATTGTTTTCTTATTCTCTAACAATTTTAAGGACGCTAAATAATACCTATAAGTATAATGATGAGAAGAACGTTCCAAAAATCAACACTGGTATTCGTTCTAGTTGCTCAACGATAGGAAATTATTGATGGTTTTGTCAATACTGTTTATAATGATAAAAATACACATCTCATATGGCAAAACAGTGAAAAATCTGATTGTAGCGATGAAAACAAGTTCACGTTTCTTGTGCTAAGATCAAACAAGCACTGCATAATACGGCACAAACAAGGGTGACACATTGAAAAAAAACAATGAATTTGGTCTTCATCTAGTTGTATCCTTTTGATTCATTTATTGAAATATAATTCAAGACATCTTATTAATATAGCGTTTCTAAATCAGAAAATCCAGATTAACCAATGCTTATCATTTCATCAACAAAACTAATCTCAAATTTACCATGTTTACTGCATAATCTATATCACTTTTATATGTAGAAAAATAAAAGCATGCTGAATTTATCAGATAACAGACAGTTTGAACTTTTCTATACTTGATTTGATTATTTTTTGTCTATGAACGAAATTTACAATTCTATTCGTAGATAGCTAACATAAATAACGACGAATGACTACAAAATCATTAAGATCTTGTGTTCTAGTATCGTATGAAATACTAGTAGATGATGGTATAAATTTGATAACTTGTATCGCAAAAGAATAATCACGATAAGATCGAATTGTATGACAGCAAATAGATTTGAATGAAATAGGATACTTAGAAAAAGAATGAAACAGGACAAAGATGTGAGTACATATGCATATTAGAACTGTTTTTACTCAAGGTTTCTTCGACTGGTAGTTTTTTACACGGATGATGATAATAAAATATGATACAAAAAATATGAAAATAAGTTAATTTGCTTACTAAAAAACCTACTGGATTATGTTGTATTTTTTCTCAAAGGAAAACAATGTTTGCAGCATTTTAACAATCTAGCTTTTATGGATTTTTTTTATCGCATGGTTATTGGAGTTATGATTACCAGTGTGTCTGTCATAGTATAATCACATGTGGAATTCTTCGTCTAAGTTTATTTCTGATTGCGGATGTGGGAATGAACGAAGAGAAGTTTCTGGCCCTCTCTTCAAATGATCAAACTTTGTTTTTTGTTTCAAAAGACACGCTATCGAATTCTCTACAATAACTGTATAAAAAGAAACCCTTTTGACATTTTAGAAAGCCCGAAGAGAAAATACATGAAAAGTTTTCGATTTCCATTAAATTGAAGGTAAAAAAACACTGTCCGTGATAGTATCTATTTTGCATTTCTCGACACGCAAATAAATTATAAAAATTTTCAATTTTTGAGGAAGATATGTCGTTAAATTCTCTACAATAATCAAAGTGAAAGGTCTCATTGGCTTATTCTTATCGATCCTATGAAGACTAGATGGATGAATTTATGAAAAGCCGAATTTTATCACTATAAATGTGGAATAAACGTTTCAGAAACCACAATTTTATTAGCGAGATCCAGTTCATTGTACGAAGACTCATTGCTGAATACCATGATACTGTCAAATTGATCTTTGTCGTGTTCGAAACTTTCTAGCAAGAATTCGACATCGCCAAAAAGAGATCAGTCGTTTAGATTAAGAAGCAAATTGAATTGAGAAGAATAAAAAACTATTGCATCGCATACACTTTTTCATAGATCTTTTTGGAATCGATTGGAATAAATTAACAGGGCATTTCACTTTGATCGTTGTAAAGAATTGAATAATGCATCTTTTTAAAAAATATGTAATGTTTTTTCTTAATATGTCTGTGTAGAGATAAATGCAATATACATATAATTATGAATAGTTTTATTAATTTCAATATAATTGTAATGAGCAACTTTTCATATTTTTTTTCTTTCAATTTTTAAAAATCTATCAAAAAAAAAGTCAAAAAGACTTTTTACAAAGTCATTGTAGCAACGTTGACGATGCATCTCTTGAAATAAAAATCAAGATTTTATCATTTGTATTTACATAGTTATATTTAAAATAAACTATGCTGCAGACATTTTTAAGACACTCGTCACATATTGCACGTAACAACATCTTCATATTTTTATTTATTGGTGAAAAATCTATTATATTTTTATCACGCAAAACCGCCGTAACATATATAATAGGACATTGACTACATAAGGTTTCCATTAGACTTATGGAATACAAAATAATTAAACTCCATTCAGCCGTACTGATTTCATATAGACAAATAAATCAAAAACATCAATTTATAAATACAAAAAGACCATGAATTATTACAACTATTTTAATGATGAACTAGAAGCTTAACTTTTTTTTGTATAGTATGAAAATATCAAAAGTACCATTTTGTATAATATAGGAGTCGTAACAACTATCATTACATGTATATGGTAGAAGGTTGATCGTAAACATAAAATAGTAAATGTTGTTTGGTATAAAAAGATAACAATCAGCATATTGAATATCATACCAAAAAACATCAAAACAAGAATATCATGAGTGCAAAATAAAAATGTCCCTGATGTCACATTTGTTATTGAATTGTCGTTACTATTCATTACTAAACGATTGGTTAGTAAATGCTATGGATCCTTTCCTCCACATCAAAAAATAAGATCAGATAAGTGAAACCTAAAAATGCAGAAGAATTCTAATGTGCCAGAGTGTTAATAAAAGCATATATTAGGTACAGGGTGTCCGGAAATTCATTTATCAAAAAGGAAATTCAATATCTTCACTACAGCTCGAGCAAACGAGCTGATATTTTTGTCAATGATAGAGGCATTCTCAAAGTGTATGTCTATAAAGACATGTCTAGAGAGATCCTTTTATATATATTAGTATTGACCTCAACAAAATAATTTTACTTTTTCACATATAGAGAAAAAAACAGTATACTTAACAAAGGGGTCTTCCTAGGCTTGTCTTTATGAATATAAAGTTTGAACGTACCTCTATCATTCATAAAAAAATCATCTCGTTTGCCCGAGCCATAATGGAGATAATCAATTTTTTTTTGGCAAAATGACGTTTGTCCCACTCTGTATATTGTTTTTTTCTCTATATGTTGAAAAAGTAAAATTCTTTTGTTGAGGTCAATACTAATACATATAAAAGGATCTCTCTAGGCATGTCTTTATAGATATAAACTTTGAGAATGCCTCTATCATTGACAAAAATATCAGCTCGTTTGCTCGAGCTGTAATGAAGATGTTGAATTTCCTTTTTGGTAAATGAATTTCCGGACACCCTGTATATTTCATATTTAGAATTTTAATGGACCGTTTTTCTTTGAATTTCTTGTTACAAACTGAATTCTAATAGAAATATCAATCTTAAATTAATTCTTCTGAAAATTTCAGAAAATATGCATTCGAGTCTCAACAGTTCAGAGTAAAAATTTTGGTCCAAAATATTGATTTATTCATGAGCTATTATAACAGCAACGATCAAAGAGTAGATCTCCGTGCAACAAGGATTTCTTTTTAAAATCTAATGATATAGATTTTGTGTTGATTTCCAAATGCAGAGCCAAGACCTGTCACTACAACTTACAAAATCCCAACATTTCAAAATATTGTTTCTTTACTTGTGATGAAATTTTCTCTCCAAAAAAAATTCGAAAAATCAGGATGTCTCTACGGGAAAAAATTGATTTTTTTTTCAAAGCATAAGTCGAAAATGAAAATTGCGGCTCTGCTATTCGCACATAACAGAAAAAATAGAAAAATCTACTTTGAGTAAAACGCGAAACAAAGTTCGGCTTAGGAACCCAAGCTTCTTTATTTCTTAATAAAACAGTATAGAAAACAAACTGTGAAAGAGCATAATAAATTCTGTAAATCGTATTGTTTTTGAAAGTAGACACTGACAATTATTCAATCGCGTCAAAATCTCAAAATCGAATATTTTGATGAACTCTCGATTTGTCACAAGAGAGTGGACTTTGAATATAAGTACATTTTGTTTTTGTTTATTTGTATATTTCATTCGAGTAAAAACCTTGCTTTAATAAATTATATTTCTAATGATTTAAAATAAGTTTTGATATTTTCGAACTGTATTGTGATATCTGAAGAATCAATAATCAATCTTAAAATGTTTTCTAAATGTATTAGATTTATTTTCATGAATATAAAGTTTATAGCAAATAAATATGGATATTTTGTTGCTCTCGATTTTTTATTGTACCTGTTAAGTCAATGAGTAAATGAAATAATCAAAAACAAAGTGCAAACTATGAAGACTTAAAACAATATTCTAATTATTATTTCTAATATATTTAGCTTTTATTTGATAAAATTACCAAATCACGCAATTAATAATCTATTCAAATATGATTGTGTTTTCTTTTTTCTCGAATAAAATTTCATTTTATTAAAGAAAACCTTTATTCATGTATATAGTAAATATACTTTGAATTATGATTGATTATCTCCTGTAACCACATAATTATTTGACCCTGAATGCAATGTTACAAAAAAAAAAATAAGTATCCAACAAAAATATTTTCTCATAATACTTTTTCTTCATTTTATTAAATGAGAATTTGATCAGTATGTTACATGTTAGAAGAAGAAAAAAAACCTATCAGAAATATTGAACTTACACATTTGAATCTCGCATAAATCATTTATAAGGAAAAAGAAAAACAAAATGTATTATGTTTTTATTTTTATTCTTATCAAAAACCTTGATCATACATCTTTAAGATTTGATACAAATTACAAAATGATCGCTATTGAGAACAGAATATACCAAGTTAACCTAAACATTAGTAAATACACTTTCGAATGAAACATTGGCTTCTTTTAAACTAAAGATCATCTTAATAATTATGACGATGCATATTCTATAATGATTCATAAGGTGTTTTTATTACATTTGCTTTGCTTTTACCTTTATTTTTCATTATCGATACAGTAATTTGATATATAAATAGTTCAAAAAAAGAAAAATAACAACTATTCAAAAATCTATTCTTTTCGACTTTTCAATCATCAGTTTTTTACAAACGAAACGACACAAAAAAATACTGTTCATAAAAAGAATTCATATTCTTTTTGTTTTTTGTTTTGAAATTAAAATGTCAAAGAAAGATAAACATGATTTTTAATATGGTGCAAGAATTGTTCGAATACGTTCGTCTGCTTTACATCCTGAGAAAAATTCTTCTTTGGCAATATAATCATCATGATTTGAATCAATTCTTGAAAATATTTCATTAATTTGTTTTCGTGGATTATTTGAACCTTTTTTATCTCTTCCTAATAAATCAAACATTGATTCAAGTACATTTGACATTTCACTTTTCGATATACGTTGATCACCATTTATATCATACAGTGCAAATGCCCATTCAAGTTTTTCATCTGGAGTTCCATTTAATGTTACATTAATGGCACACATAAATTTTTCAAAATCAATAGCACGACTCTTTTTATCCGGATTAAATGTTCGAAAAACATGATCACAAAATCCTTTTGCTTTTCCAGTCGGATATCGATATTGATAAACTTCAATAAATTTCTGTTTATCTAATAAACCTGATGGACAATCAGCTAAAAATCCATGCCACCAATCAATTATTTCTTGTTTTGTAAATTTTGTTTTATTTAGTAAATTCTCAATAATCCTATCAGAAAGTTCTAGTTTTATTTCATCAGCATCTTTATTATTTGTTACTAATGAACTAGAAGATCTTGTTAATGATGTATCTTTAAGTTTTTTCTTTCCTATTGATCCACTACAACCCATTGTAATAAATATTCAATGGACAAGTCTATTGTGATAAAATTTGAAGATTTCATGTAAAAAACAAAACAAATGGATAAACATACTCTGATTGCCGTTGATTTTTGTCGTTGATTATATTTCTTGATCGCTCACAAACATACGCTCGTTCTTATGGTTATTTTGATATCATACATTTCAATCCATTGACAATATCGCACATGTATAAATGGTAAAAACAGGAAAAAAAAGAGACGAAATAAATAGACAAGTAAATCAAGCGTTACAACAAAGATAATGATGATCCATAAAAGTAAATATTTTATATTGCTTAATAAATACAGAAGAAAAAAAAATATGTGACAAAAATGTTTTATGTTAATATAATTAGGTTTTTTTTTGTTATGTATGAAATAAATGATTTCCAATTGAAAATGAAAAAAGAAATAAATAAATAATAAAACATAAACGATTAATAATATGAGCAAGAAGAATCCATTCTTGATGAATATTATGTTCATTAAGCAATATATTAACTTTTTGTTTTATTGAAGTTATATCACGACTTATTGTATTTGATGATAAAACAAGAGGATCAGATGTTGTTATTAAACCATTTGAAAGTGAAGTTAATGGTTCCATAGCTGAATCATTATTTGGTAAATCATTTGTATCATATTCACTGAAGGAAAAAAGTATCATAAAGTTTAAATATTAAAACAAGAAACAGATAGATACTTTTCACGATTAGTTATTAATGTTGCATATAATATTCGTTTAAGACCAACTAATTTTGTTAAATGACAAAAAAACACCTAAAATTAACATAAATTTTATTTAAAAAAATAATAAACATTTTCATATACATACAGTACGTATTTTGTTTGATGGTCTTTCAATTGAATAATGTTTTCCATCTACAAGCATTCGTGTCAATACTGACAATGCTAATACCATTGAGGTTAAACAAATATCATAAAAAATAGTATATCCCATCAATGGCCATGATGTACCTAATCGTTTTGGAACATAATAAGCAAAGATTATTAATAAAATAAATTGACAAATAAGTAATAAGACACCTAAAAAAAAAAGATAAATAAATATTTTTGATTTAATTTCAAAAAACAAAAAACAAACAAATTATTATTATTACCATAACAAATTCTTTCAGAAGCTGACGGTGGAAGAAAAAAAATTGTTAGTGTTAAAAATATAAGAATTACACCGGGCCAATTAATAAGTCGAACAAAGTATGTTGGACGTCGATGAATATTTAATTGGATAGATATTTGATCATAACTTCGATCGAAACCAGCAAAAAATGTAACTTTTTGATTAACTGTATGTGATACAAAATAAAAACCATTTGGCATTAAATCTGGTTCATCAATAATAAAATCAATTGCTTGCGATATTGATACTTCATCGATATCATAAAGTACTGAACCAAACTAAAAAGAGAAAAATTTTAATCGTTTTATTCGTCATCTTAAGTGTATTTATTACTTTGAATGTACATGTTTGTTGATCAAATGGAAAATTTTTCAGATCAAAATTACATGGACTTGTAAGAAGAGTTGAATATGATAATTCAAAATGACCACTAGATTGAACATCGATAAAATGATTTGCTTCAGAATCGATTGTTGTACTTCTGAATAATGAAATAAAAGTGTAGGTTATTTAAATAAATAAAAAGAAATCATACGGATTAATTAATTCTATTTTTGGTGTCCAAATTGAATGTGCAGGTACACGAATATGTTGAACATTAGCATATGGTGTAGAATTCCAACCAAGTACTGAAGCATTCCAAGTCTAAAACAAAGGGATTGTAATAGTATAAAATAGATTTAATTGATTAGTTGTTTTTTTTTTTCTTTACTTGATTTATATGTCCACGAATTGTTATTAATGAATCATCTTCATTCTTTAAAAAAAAGAGAAAAACATTTGTTTTTTTTCTTGATTAGAATGATAAAGTGACATACAACAGAAACAAGTCTGATTAATGAAAATCCAAGGTTAACATTAATTTTTTGAAGATCATTTTGTATTGGACGTATGGATGGACGTGATTTTGCAAGTAATCGATCATATAATTCCAATTGACATGTATAATAATCGGAACAGTCTATATTAATTATATAGATAATGATTAATAAAAAATTATGAAAATATTAACATACTTTGAGAATATGCTAAAGTAAAACAGATCAATAAAAGCCAACTGGAGAAGATCATACTTGTTGTCAATGGGTAAGAAATCTATAGAATACAGAACAAACAACTTACTCTGCTTAATCGTTATAGTTTCTGACGGGATAGAAATAAGACAGAACAAAAAAAAAAAGAATTTTGTCGACTTGTATTGCAAGAGTTTTTTTTCACTTACTTTCTCGTCTTAAAGAAAAAAAATATATATAGGAAAGGAGGAAGGAATGCAATGTTCATATGGGTATGCTACTTAACTAACATTCTTCTCTTTTTTTTCTCAATTTTTTCTTCTTCTTACATACACTAGATATTAAAACAATCATTATTAACGATAAATTATAATTTGTACGTCATAGTTCAATTCATTAGCATTCTCTAGTTGTTATTATTTTTTGTTCCTAAAATCACACATACAAACATATAATATGAGTAAAATATTTAAATAAAAAACAAAATTAAAAACGGACGGTGCATAAAAGATATTCACTGCAAAAAAAACCAAAAAAAAAAGAGAGAATTATCATAAATATTAATATTGTTCACAATTGACCACATTCTTGAATAAGAATACGACGCGTGGGTACACCTGTTTCACTTCCATATGTTTCAATTTGTTTGATCACATCCATACCTTCAACAACTTGACCAAATACAACATTTTTACCATTTAACCATGGGCATGGCAAAATAGTAACAAAAAATTGTGATGTATTTGTATTTGATCCTTTAGAAAAAGAAATCTATTCAAAAAACGAAACAAACAATTCTATATACCTTGATTAGCCATTGCTAATAATCCTGGAATAGTAAATTTTCGATTGAAATTTTCATCTTCAAATTTTTTACCAAATATTGATTTCCCCTATAAATGAAAAAAAAAAGTTAAATTCTGCAAAGTTTTTTATATTTTATTCGTAAGATATACATACACCCGTTCCATTATAACTAAAAATTAAATTATATTTAAAAAAAAAAAGAAAATAAATAAATAATAGTCAATACGTACGAAGTAAAATCACCTCCTACAAACAATCGAAAACACGTATAATAAATAAATAATAAATTATTCTCTTTTTCTACCTTGACAAAAATATCCACGAATCACACGATGTAATATGGATGATTTATATCCATAACCTTTTTCCATTGTACATAATGCTCGAAAATTTTCACATGTTTTTGGACATTCATTATCAAATAATTCAAATACAACACGACCAAGAGATGTACTATCAGCATACACATCAAAAAATACTCTAGGAGAACTCATATCTAAAAGAACAATCATTTGTATAAAATATTTGAAACACAAAAAAAAAAAAGAATTATCATCGAATTCATTCAGATAATTGAAATGAATAAAAACAAAATGATGAAAATCTGTACGAATTTTTAAAAAGGATTCAAGCATTTATAGATAGACCAGTAATCAAATAGAAATCAATATATTTTATTTTTATTAATTATTGAGAAAACTTGCATCGATTTCATTAATACTTATATAAGTAGAATCAATTATTTTCGATTAATTCTACACTATGAAGAGTATAATTTTCAACAAAAAAAAAACATAAACACAACTTTTGCATGATAAATTAATCTCACGAGGGAAATCCCCGAACTGATTAATCATTTTTTCCAGTCGAGGCTATGTGCATCATGTAAAACCTAACGAGTTATGAATAGTTTGAGTAAAAAGTGTCAGTTCTTAGCTTGTTGTTTCGAAAATTTTACATTGTACTGATATTTTTCAAATCTATGTCATGATCTTCATCAGAAAAACTTATTTTCGACTTTCAACTTGACATTTTTCACGGAGACAGTTTCTAACGATAATAGTTTATGACGAAAGTTTCAGATCCTTTCGTTGATCCTATTTTAAGGTATGATTATGATAAAAATATGTCTTTTCTTCACCGTTTCGACATTCTTATTTCAGGATAGAAGTAAATGCAATGATCGAAAATTTTTACAATAAATGATTCTCATTAAGGCTTATCTTTGTGCAATGTCTCAAGATAAAATTTAAAAAATCAGTTTTTCTAGTGTTTCTGAGGAATATTACGGTATAGTCTCAAATAATGCAATATCTTCGTAGCAACAAGCTAAGAGTTCCCACTCTTATCAGGAATATTCATAGCTCATTATGGTCTACAGAGTGTGTATATTTCCGACTGAAATGTAGTTAGACAGTTGGTAATTCTAAATCATAGTATGAATGAAAATGATATTATGTGAAAAAAAAATGAGTTGAACATATTAAATATTTATTTATTTATTTTTCCGAAAATGATCAAGTAAAAACTAGGGTATGAGCAAGTCTATTGTAAATTTTAAGTGTGTTTTTTCATAAAAGAATAGTGAAAAATATAAGTTTCCGGTAAAGGTATTGCAGGAAATTACTTTCATCCGTTTATTATTGACATTTCAAACATAAACTATTCTGTATTGTATTATTTGATAAAATATACATTTTCTATTGATGCAACAAAACACAATGTTACTATTAAATCTAAAAACAATACAAAGAAAAAAGGTTAATTAAACTTTGATATGAAATAATATTTATAGCAAAAAAACCATCAAGCGATTATTTAGCTAAGATTATGATAAGTATCGACAAATTTGTCATTTTATTAAGTTCTTTAAAACTATTACTATAGTGCACTGATTACTAATATTTATTATCAATCAATAATGAGATGAAATGTTATCATATAATCGTTCAATCGAGCTAGTACTTCAAAATAAAGAATCCTTATACCAATTATACTCAATGCTGACTCATTTGTATTCAGTATCGA